AACAAGCAATTCCTTCAGTAACGTTTCTTACACAGTTTTTGGGATGTTTACAAGCAATTCCTTCAGTAACGTTTCTTGCACAATTTTTGGGATGTTTACAAGCAATTCCTTCAGTAACGTTTCTTACACAATTTTTGGGATGTTTACAAGCAATTCCTTCAGTAACGTTTCTTACACAATTTTTGGGATGTTTATAAGCAATTCCTTCAGTAACGTTTCTTACACAATTTTTGGGATGTTTATAAGCAGTCCCTTCAGTAACGTTTCTTGCACAATTTTTGGGATGTTTACAATGGCCAACGCTGTTTTTTGAATCATTTTCGGAAAACATTTCGTTCATATTCCCATATCTTCAAATTACCTTAAAGTAGATATAACAGGGAGATGACATTGCAAGTACTACGTCCATAGCATAGTCTTAAAGCAGAGCTGAACAAGAAATAGACTTCGACTTTATAAGTAATACTCTAAAATCGATATTTAAGTCATTATTTCTGTGTCCAGTTGTTGTTGTCCTGTTCAAAGTACTTCTTCATTCATCCATACTGAAATACCTGTTGTTGTTTAGTATAGGTTTTACTACGTTTGTCAGCAAAATTCGAAGATGTATATATATATATATATATTTCAGATTATTTAGGCCCACAGATCAATGGGAGAATCAGTTACTTTCGTTGTGTATGTTAGTAAGCAAGAGTACAGTTGGTATTAAATTAATTCCAGAAAATCTCAGAAATAGGACCTAACACCCTCTCCCCCCAAAAAATGGCATCTCGGTGTTTAGACATCCTATAATAGTACTTGAAAGAGTTGCAAATGCAGAGGCAAAGTTACAACTGAACAATATTTTTATATGCTTATTCTTCATTGTACAAGCTACGCTTCAGAAATTAATAAATATAATATCATTCTTTATGAAAAGCAGCTCAAATTTACCTCGTTTAACTTAAACAAAGCCCTTATTTTGAACAATAAGCATGCTACGTCAAAATTCATATTACTGATAAGTATTGGCCTACGGAAAGATAATTCATGTTAGTGATAAGCACTGGCTTACGCAAAGACAGTTCATGTTAGTGATAAGCACTGACTTACGGAAAGACAGTTCATGTTAGTGATAAGCACTGGCTTACGGAAAGACAGTTCATGTTAGTGATAAGCACTGGTTTACGGAAAGACAGTTCATGATAGTGATAAGCACTGACTTACGGAAAGACAGTTCATGATAGTGATAAACACTGGCTTACGGAAAAAAGTTCATTTTAGGAATAAGCACTGACTTACGGAAAGACAGTTCATGTTAGTGATAAGCACCGGCTTACGGAAAGACAGTTCATGTTAGTGATAAGCACTGACTTACGGAAAGACAGTTCATGATAGTGATAAACACTGGCTTACGGAAAAAAGTTCATTTTAGGAATAAGCACTGGCTTACGGAAAGAAAGTTCATGTTAGTGATAAGTATTGGCTTACGAAAAGACAGTTCATGTTAGTGATAAGCACTGACTTACGAAAAGACAGTTCATGTTAGTGATAAGCACTAGCTTGCGGAAAAACAACATCAAAGTTGAGACTTCGCGTCAGCGGCGACTCTCAAGTTTGAATCATAGCTACGAAACGACGATTGGCTAGCGGTCTGTTCTCAATTCTGTTCGTGGAAACATTTTTTATATTTTTATGGCCTCTATATGGGGATTGCATACACTGAGAACACGTGCTTTGGATGTACCACGTGCAAAGTGTCGCGTGTTAGATATCGAGCGACATTGCGAGAAGTGGAGAGAGGCAAGGATGATGGAATAAGTATGGATCCCCAGGACGAGGCTTAACAAATTCAATTCGGTGCTGCCCTGCACAAACAAATTAAGGAATGGATCAGTCCGTCTTCAACACTCAACGTACGTGTTAATGAACGGTGATCTAATTTTGAACGCACCCTCCGGTTCGTCACGCGCCCTCGCGGATTGCAAGCGCTTCATTTACAGAGATTTAGCTAAGACAAATCTATTGACAGAACGACTAAAAAAAAAACACTTCTACGCGTCGTAATTATAATGATAATAAAGGTGAGTAACGAAAGATACAGTTTGATCCACAGTCTGCAGCAGAACTAATTAACCGATCTTCAAGCACACGAGTATTTGAAAAAAAAACATATACAATGATATGTTTAGTTAAAAGACTCTGGAAGATATATTATTTCCATTTTGATTTTAATATAATTCAGTTATATCATTTTGGGTCACTTATGTCATATAATATAGTTATCGTTATTCGGCCAGGTAAGAGTAGCGCGAGGTTTGCGGTGGGTGCTGTTGACTAGATACCTCTCTTTTTAAGTTCAGAATTAGGAACGACTATTCTGGCCCTTTGTAAAGTTTTGCGTGAAAATTCTGAAACAAAACAACAAAATAAATAATGAAACAAGCCATTAAAACAAATATATGCTTAAACTCTCAATGCCCGGCATGGCAAGGTGGTTAGGGCGCTCGACTCGCAATCTGCTGATCGCGGGTTCGAATCCCTGTCACACCAAACATGCTCGCCCTTTCAGCCGTTGGGGGCGTTATAATGTGACGGTCAATCCCACTATTCGTTGATAAAAGAGTAGCCCAAGAGTTGGCGATGGGTGGTAAAGACTAGTTGCCTTTCCTCTAAATTAGGGACGGCTAGCACAGATGGCCCTCGTGTAGCTTTGCGTGAAATTCAAAACAAACAAACAATAAACTCTCAATAGAAGAATGCTTCTGAACCTCCAGCGTGGCCACGAATTCTGAAACAACTTTTATTCACCTCGTGCTTATCAGACATCAGAAAAATCTATGACTGGTACCTTCTGCCTCGTATTAATTGTTCGTAACCTAATTGGGGTGGCATCATGCAAGGCTTGTGTCCACGTGTCATGTTAAGTTAAATATATATTTGCTAGAGTCTCTATTTCAATGAATTCTGCCCGCACAGGGATAAATGTGTTTTAATACAAATCTGATTCCTGCCTGAACTTGTGTGATAAAATGAATGAATTACGAAGGTTGAAAAACAAACAAACTGATATTTGATCCTCAGTTGATGTTTAATTACATGGACTTATTACATGACACATGAATATCAATATCTAAAAGAATTTGGATGCTTTAAAATTTAGCGCAAAGCTACACAGTGAGTTACCTACTTATGCTATTTCCGCCGATGTGATTCAATCCCCGGATTTGAGCGTTATACGCCAACAATCTGATGGCTGAGTCACGGGGATATATATATATATATATATATATATATTAACT